GGAATGGTTTGCCATTTCCTTCTCCAGCTTATTTTACAGCTGAGGAAACTGAGGCAAACAGGGTGATGTGACTTGCCCAGGGACACACAGCTAGTAAGAGAATGACATTTTAATTGCAGATAGTGCCAGGAGAAAGTGTGATTTATAGGAATTCTTCTGTCTCCTATAGTACCAAAGGATATTGCTTTCAATTTAAAAAGTTTTACTATCCATTAAATATAGACTAAATTGATGATGATTATTATAATCATGTAACTCCTTTACTTGAGATTTTCAGTGACAAAATATAAAATACTGCTTATCATTCTAGGCTCCCATAACCTGACTCTAATATATCTGTTCTGCCTTATTTATTCTACTCCCCTTTATGTATCTATATTTTAACCAGTCTCTCATTCCTTTTTCTGCCTTTAGCCCTTTGTTGTCCTAAGAAGCAAATTCATAATGAAGTCATAAATGATGATGTGATAGGTAACATAACACAGGTTTTAATAGGTATATGGTATTTTAAAGTCTATAATTTAAAAAAACCCTAAAGTCATGTTAAAATTTGAGAAAAATGTATTAAAGCTGAAAGAGAACTGTGAGATTATCAAGTTCTACCCACCCATTTCAATTTAATAGTTCACTGGGTCTATGATCTTATTATATACATTTTCTTTGGTGATACAGGTTGTACGCCAACCATGCCTTCTTATCCTGTGTGACTCTTGTCTTTGCTCATCCACAGATAACAGAGGGCTTGCTCACTGTCCTGAGTCTTCTTTCTGGTTTTCTCGACATTTCAGTTACGTGTGAGTTGTCCATCAGTCAACTCTTGCTTTTACTACAGCTCTTCAGTAACATCCTTTATGCCACTTCTCCCATTCAATTTCTTATTGCTGATCTGGTATATATCTACTCAAAGCCACCCTATATCTCCCCTTCAGGTGATCCTCAACTTCAATTCTTCAGACTGTGGCATTCTTTCACTTCTGGTGATATTGTATTATTGACAGAATATTGTTATTTGCAAATACTGGACTAGAGAGCTTTGGTGACTTGCCTAAGGTCACAGAGTTAGTTAAAGGTAGAGCTAAGACTGGGAAAATTCTGCTGCTCAATATCCTTAGTCTAAGGCACTTATCCTTGCATACAACACTGCCTCTTCATAAATAGGATTCAGATTAGAAAACAAAGAATCTTTGATTCTTTCCTTCCATAGCCTCCTTAATTAAATCTCAGAATATAGTTGGTTGATTAGAACAGTTCATCTTTTAGAATTCTAGATGTGTATTTATAAGAGAGATTTTCATATGAGGTACAGCTTGTCATTTGATAAGAATTCTAACACTGTCAGTGTTCTTTCTAATTCATGCTGCCTGGTGAAATGGAGGCCAAATGGAACATGGGATTCAACAGCATTAACAGTTCCAGCGCAACATGTGGTACCCAAACCTGGGAAACATAATGCTGGCAGTAAAAGCTGCCTTTAACTCTCTTTCAACTGACAATCCTTTACACATTTTTTTGTGTGTGATTTCCTTACTTTCTTAAGTAATGTTATAAGGGTTTGAAGTATGTAGGGGTAGAGCTCCTGGTATGAAAGATGGGCACTATGTGATTAAGGTAAAATTGCAGAAAAAGATGGAAGAAATCTTCTAAAATGCAGCATTTCTTGGGTATTAATAAACATCAAATGGCCTGACCATAATTTAGTCTGTAGAGAGAAAAGTGTTTTTACTAAACCTTTGAAAAGTATTCTTTAATAGAACTGTGGAGATTATATTATAAAAAAAAGCAAAACAGGATTACTCATCCAAAACGGATTGTTTGTTTTACAAATGAATATTTATATAGAGAACTCTCGAATTAAGCAGTAATCTTTGGCTTTGTTGAAACACAATGAACAATATGCAAAATCAGGGGTGCTTTTTAAAAAAGGATATGAACATCACATTATGATTACCAGTCATTTCTGTATCTGCATAGCAGGTAAATAAAATGAGGAATGACTAACCTATTATGTACTTAATTAATGAACACCTGTACACAATGAAAGCATGGCTGATTTTATGAAAGCATGAAAAGCCAACCAGGCAATTAATGTTCAATTTAAAATTTGCAAGCTGGAAAAAGAAAAAAAAGCCGTGAGAGAAAAACAATCTGTAATGGGTAAATGACAAAGGAAGAAAAGTGTTTGTTTCAATATATCCAGAGTATTTTAACTTTCACTTATCTTGATTATCAAGTCCTGCTTTGTAGTACAACAATCTAAATGTCTCCTTTTTTTATATGATTATTTATATTCTAAATATATCATCAGGGGAGAAATTCTTTTCTGAGAGTAGCACCCTTGAGTACCAAGGGATGGGTAGATTGCTCTGCAGTAGATCGGAATTGAGGATCTTAATGATCCAAAACCAAATCTGGATATTTAGTCAATGTAAATATCCAACAATCTACAAAGTTGATCTGATTTAATGTCAATAAAATATTTAAATGTCTGCAGCATGCATGGCTTTGTCTTTAGCAATGTGTAGTAACAAAAAAAAAAAATAAGCCAAACCTATGCTAAACACCGAATTGGGAAAGCCCTCAGAGATTGTCTTATCCAGTTCTATACCTGATACATAGCTTACTTGCCGAATTTTTCTACAATCGATTCTCTAATTGTGAGTTGGTTGCAATTTGCTCCTTGTAACTTCTTCTTTTTCCTTTTCTCTTATGCAGCTTGCCCTGTATCCTCGTATCCCTGTATACATCTGTCTTGCTCTGCCAATCCTCAGTTTTGTTTTATGTTCACTATTTGCTACCTTTGCTCCTACTTGTGTGCTGCTGAGCAAAGCTGAGGGGAAATCCCAAAATCATGCCAACTGAGTCTTCTATAAATTTCTCTTACATAATCTTAACTGAGTCCTCACTATGGCAAGACAAACCCTTTTCATCTTTTCCAGACCTTTTCATCTCTCCTCAAATTCACACTGTTCCTCTTAACCCTCTCACCTGTGAACCTTGCCTCATATTTCACTGAAAAAAAAAATGGAGCTTCCTCTTCCCCCCTTCTCCTCATATCACATTACTCAGATATTTTCTGCCATTATTTTCTCCTTCATTCTTAATTCACATGAAGACGTGGCCCTTGTCCCTGGGCCTCCAAGTCAAATCTCTCTACATGCACAAATGATCCTGTCCCATTCCATCTTCTCCAGCAGATTACCCTTTCTGTAATTCCCACTCTTACCTGTCTACAATCTGTCCTTGTCCATCAGCTATTTCCTGAATGCCCACGTACATGCCTAAGTTTTTCTTATTCTCAAAAAACACTCACTTGATTTATCCACCTCCTTTTTGTGGTTAAATTCCTAGAGAAAACCACCCATAATTAATGCTTTCATTTCCTTTCTTCTCACTCTCTCTTTAATTTTCTACAGTCTAGATTCCAACCTAATCATTCAATCAAAATTACTCTCTCCAAAATTAGTGATTATCTCTTAATTGCCAAATCAAATGGCCTTTTCTCAATCTTCATCCTTTTTTTAAAACTCTCTGCAGCCTTTGACACTAAGATCACCTTCTTTTTCTTTATACCATCTCTCTGTAGGGTTCCATGACATTGCTAGATCTTCTTTCTCTCATTACTTGTCTGATTGCTCCTTTTCAGTGTGCTTTGCTGGACTTCATCTAAGACATGTCTACTTAACAAGAATGTCCTATAGGGCCAGGTATTAGGCCCTCTTCTCTTCTCACTCTATACTGTCTCTCTTAGTGATTCATCAACTTCCATTGACTCAATGATCATTTCCCTGCTGATTTTTAGATCTACTTTTTTAGCCCTAACCTGTGTGCTGACCTACAATCTCATATCTCCAACTGCTTACCGAGCATCTCAAATTGGGTGTCCTGTAGACATCTTAAACTCAAGATGTCCAATACTGAAATCATCTTTTTTCTCAAAACCCTCCCCATTTCTAAACTTCCTTATTAGTGGTGAGGGCACCGTCATCTTTCCAGTCACCCAAGTATACAATTTTCAGCTCCTCAGTCTCACCATCCATATCCAAACTGTTGCCAAGTCCTGTCAATTTTATCTTTGCAACATCTCTCATGCCCTCTATGCCCACTTCTCTAACACTGCAGCACTCTGGTGAAGGCCCACATCCATTTATGCCGGGACTATTACATAGTCCGTTAGTTGTTTTCACTGACTTAAATCTCTCCCAAGTCCAGTCAACCATCCATTCAGCTAGCAAAGTGATCTATTACCCTCTATTCAATAAATTCCAATGGCTCCCTAAAACCTCTAGGATTAGATAAAAAATCCTTTGTTTAGTATTCCAAACTCTTCACGAACCTGGCTCCCTTTTGCCTTTCTGGTCTTCTTTAACTTGATTCCCCACCACATGCTGTGCAGTCCAGTGACACTGGCTTCTTTATTGTTCCTTGAGAACAAAATATTCCATCTCCCAACCCTGAGCGTTTTCATTGGCTGTCCCCCATGTCTGGCACTCTATTCTTCCTTCCTTCAAGTCTTAGCTAAAAGACCCACCTTCTATAAGAAGCCCTTCCCAATCCCCCTTAATTGTGTGCCTTCTCTATCTTGATTATCTACAATTTATATATACCTTGTTTGTACATATTTGTTTGCAGGTTGTCTTCTACCTAAGACGGTAGGTCTTTTAAAGCAGAGATTACTTTTTGTCTTTTTCGGTTGTCCTAGCGTTTAGCATATTGACTGATACGTAATAGGCACTTAATGCTTCTTGACTGGATGTCTATACATTGGTCTTAATTCTATGATCTGGTGTCATGCCTAATAAATCTAATTCTTCTTTTATGCATGCCCCTAAAATATTTGAAAACCTTAGACACGCTCATTTGCCAATGTTTCTCCCGAAATATGGTATTGAGGATTGAATATCATACTTCAGGAACGGTATGACTAGAAAACTCTTTTTTGGGTGTATCTTAGTTGTTTGGAGTTGCCCCTGATGAGGAGCACCAGTTTTCAAGATTCTCACCTGCTTCATTAGTTCGGATCATTCGAGATGGTGTGCTCGGATCTCCTGTCCCAATAGGATTAGTTGCCACCACTCTGAATTCATATTCTACCCAGGGGTTCAGGTCCACAGCCATGGCAGATTCCATGTCTCCTGTTATGACTTCTGGGACTGAAAAAGGAAGCAAATTTCAAGCCACTGAGGTTTCCAGAAAACTTTATTTGCTGTCATGAATGACAATCAAATAGATCATAGCCAATACAGTACCCACAGCCCAGTACAGAATGTCTTGTGACATATGACGATGACCTCAGTTTCAGACTCATTAGCAAAATGAAAAAAATAGAGAACTTGAGTTCAAATCTGGCCTCAGACACTTGACACTTACTAGCTGTGTGACCCTGGGCAAGTCACTTAACTCTAATTGCCTCACTAAAAAAACAAAAAACAGAAACAAAACAAACAAACAAAAAAAGAATACACCCATTAGCCCAAACTTAGTTTCTTAGGGGCAGCTAGGTGGCGCAGTGGATAGAGCACTGGCCCCGGATTCAGGAGGACCTGAGTTCAAATACGGCCTCAGAGAGATAACACTTACCAGCTGTGTGACCCTGGGCAAGTCACTTAACCCCATTGCCTAGCCAAAAAACAAACAAACAAACAAAAAACCCCCCCAAAACAAAAAAAAACAAAATGAAAAAATAACCTTCAGAAAATAAGTACTTGCATACTTTACCAAAGATAGTTGAAAATAATCAATGAGTTATACTACTCATTCACATTCATGATTTGACATTTCCTTCTTCCAGCTCATTTTACAGATGAAGAAACTGAGGCAAACAAGGTTAAGTGACTTGCTCAGGTTCACAAAGCTAGTAAGTGTCTGAGGCCAGATTTAAACTCAGGTTTTCTTTACTCCAGGCCTGGTACTCTCCACTGTGCTACCTAGCTGCCCTAATACCTTAGCAAAAATTGCTTTGATTGAAATCATTCACTACCTAGTGGCCGTACATCTAGTGACAAATCTTTTTGATTCTAAGTCAAACTTCTGTTGTCCTTAGACAACAGCTCATTAGAGGCATTTTATTAAAACCTTTACAGATTGTGATCTCCTGATATTACCTTTGAGAAACCAGGGCCAGTTTCATGCCAACATGAGGCACTAAAACAGGAACCTTTTTTAGTGGAAGAACAAATCAGTTCCATGTATTAAATGGAGAGTCAGAGTAGTGCAATGGAATGACCACTTGAATTGGTGTGATCTTGGGCAAATTTCACTTAATTTTTTTGGTGCTTCATTATTTCATTTATAAAATGAGCGGTTGGATTGAATGATAGCTAGGTTATTAGGTGATGCTTTCCAACTGTAAATGTCATGAAAAATCTCTCCAAAACATTCAAAAGATAGTGGAATGCCTTTGCCAAGTCACTAAAATATAATGAACCAATAATAGGAAACCAAAAAAAGATTGAGGGGAAGATACTTACTTATAGTTATATAGTTACTAAAAGTTCAGATGTTTTTCCATCATGTAATACTGGCCCTGCTAATTTATTATATCCAAACTGAACTATTTTGGGGTAAGTATGGATTAGGGATTGGGACTGGATCTGTGATTTTATTGATATAAGGAACTCTCAGATAAGGCAACTGCTCTTACCAATGTAGGGCAGCACCTTCTCTTCCACTTACAGTCTTAGAGCATATTTGCTGTTGCTGTTTTTCAATCGTTTCAATTGTGTCCAACTCTGTGACCATGTTTGGGGTTTTCTTGGCAAGGATACTAAAGTGGTTTGCCATTTCCTTTTCCAGCTCATTTTACCGATGAGAAAACTGAGAACAGGGTTAAGTGACTTGAGAATATAATCTGCAGCATGGAGAGGGTAAACAACTTGCCTAGGGTGATACAGCTAGAATTTGTCAGAGGTAGCACTTGAACCCAGGCTCTGGGGACAGCTTTTTATCCAGTGTACCGGGCTGAATGCAAAGGATTCCATTTAGAATTTAGCAAAGTATTCGTCAAGTGGATTAACATCTTAATAATTAATTTGACAACTTTGGTGAAGAATTTTTCCCTTCAAGGTGTGTTTGCTCCCTGAATTTACACATCCTTTTTTTTTTATGCCTTTCACTAACATTTTTCCCCCATGGCAAATTCATAGCATCCTAGTATCTAGAGACAGAAGGAAAATATAGTTCTAATAGTTTATTTTATAAGTGATGAAATAAGATCTTCAGAAGAATTAAATTGCTTATTTAAGGTCACACAAGTAATAACTAGCAGACACAGGATTCAATCCCAAAGATGACTGGAAATACAATAGTCTTCATGATATCACACTGACTTCTACTTAGTTCTGCTGGATAGTTTTGGCAGAACAAATGAGAAAAGAAGGGCCCTATCTCAGGAAGCAGAAATTTCTTAGAATTAGTCTAATTTGTTTTTATTACATTGATTTTTGCCTAATAATAGGTAGGTTCTTGATTTGGTAATAATGTTGGGTTTCTAAATAGTTATCCTATTCATCTGAAGTCTCATTTGGAGATACTTTATTTGTAAAGCAGATGCCAACCAATTGTGAAAGAACTAAACAAATTGTGGCATATTGAATTTAGTGAAATATAGTGTCATAGATACAATGATCCAAGAATACAGACAATCATAGGAAGATTTATATAAACCTAAGCAAGGTATGTAACACCAGGAAAGCAGTATATGAGATTATAGCAGTTTAAAATGTAAAGAATAACAACAACAAACCCTGGAGATGAATGGTGTATCATTGTAATAACCATGCTTTGCCTCAGAGAAGATAAAATGCAAATCTCTTCTACCTTCGCAGAGATTAAAGAATTTGGCTATAGCACATTGTAAATACTGGAAAATTTGGCTGTGTTCATAAGATTTGCTGAATTGTTTTTTCTCCCTTTTTCTTTTACATTCTTTGTTATAAGCAGAGTGGCAAGGGACATATTTGAAATTAAGGTGATATAAAAACAAAAGACATTAGTAAAATTGATGGAGTATGGGTCTAAACTGAGACCTTTGCCCATCACCTCAAAAAAGAATTTGGGTCCCATTTGTCTACTGACTCTCCTTGAATTATCCTACTTGGTTAAGGAAGTCTCTAGTTATCCTGAGGCTATAATCCTATCAACTGGCCTTTCACTATCACCTAGGCTCAATCTCCCAATGACCTGTTACCTTTAACCTAGCCCAGCCCTCCATTATCTATTACCTCCCAAGGGCCCCCAGCTCCTTCCCACCATTGATTCCATCTAGACTTCATTCTACCTTCCAGTCACTCCCATCAAGATCTTCCCTAGCCTACAGGCCATTCCCATCAAGATACCCCTCCTCCTCCAGGAACCGCAAACTACTTGGCCACTCCTCCACAGTCTTTCTGTGTATAAGGTCTATCTGACCTCCATTAGGGTGCTGAGATTCTTAAAGTCTAGCCAATGCTCAGATTCCTTAAGAGTCTAGCCAATAGCTGAGACTTGTCTTTATGAGTGTCACAAATGTTCAGATTCCATAAGAGTCTGGGCATTATGACAGATGTTCTAGTAAACCTTGTCTTTGGCTGAAAGAAGGCTTGGGTCGAATTCATTTAGGCAGGAACTGTGTGTTGTGATTTTTCGGGTCCCAGCACCCCTAAACCTCAACAGTTGCAGCCGAGCTCTTCTCAGAAAGTCTTTGGGGTGAATGAGAGGAGGTTACTCTTCCTTTTTTTTCTGTCAGAATGCATAAGTTTGTGCCCTGTAAGCTATAATCTGACCTTAGCTCAGAGTGCTAGGTATGATAGTCATTTGTAAAATTAATTTCTGAATCTTGATGAAGCATTCATTTATTAGCCATGACATTTAACTCTCCATATTAAAAAGAATTATGGATTCCTGTTCCCAGTTTAATGCTGTTTTTGGCCTCTGATTTCTAGTTAGTGGTGATCTTTAAATAAAACAAAACAAAACAAAGCAAAAACCCAAAAATTAAAAAAAAAACCAACAACAATCTACCTTGGATTTCCTAAGCTCATTATCAAGAGTAAGGGCTCAAAATAATTGCAAAAGCTTGAAGAGGATATTAAAACTTTTGATGAAATTGCATGCAATGTGGAACAGATTAAGGGGCAAACATCTTTTTTATTAGGATTTTGATTTGAAACTCAAATCCTGTGCAGATTAAAGATAATGTAGCTTTTATTCCCAAACAAATCTTTTTAAAGCCTTTATAGCCATGTATTATTTTTCTTCTTACAAAGATATACTTTCTGTAACTATGGGGACAATTCTGTTTAAAACATGCAGGCTGTGTTCCCAGGAAGAAACAGGAGGAGATTAAAGGAAATAGAAAACCCTACATTTCTTGAGGGACCATATCTCACTGACACTGCTTCCTATGAGAAGAGAGAAATTTGTTATTACAAACTAGTTAGAATTGAAGTCCATCTAATGCCAAAATAATAATTAGTCCATTGGTCTATTTAATCAAACATTAGGCACGTTGGTGAAAAATCAAATCTAGAAATGATCCAAAAGGGTGTAGGACTGAAAGTTAAGCCAGCCAAGACAGTTTGAACTGGTAGCTCTATGTAGACCTAGTCAAAGAAATCAACTCACTATACTCCCTGGGTAACATGAATGAAATGTCTATTTTCTAAGGGAAAAGTAATTTGACTTAGCTGAGAGTGGCCTGCAGGCTAAAATGTCTATTTGCTATGGTTACTTTTAGACTTCATTCAGGAGGAAAAAATGATTCTATTCTCAGTAGCTGCTTTAAGGGACTGCTTTTACTTATATCTAGGGTTTGTCACTTAACTATGGGATATGCTCAGTCAAGCGTCTAAGTACACCTCTACTTGAATTTCTAAAGAGAAGAATTCTACTACTCAAATTTTTGTATTCAAATGGGACCTGATGAAAGTTACAAAAGGAATCACAAATGCTTTTAAAATTCCATTTTATAAGGCTCCTTTCAATTCACCAGGGAATTGGAATTTATATATTTTTATAAAACTCACTGAAATCTGGTACCAAACGCTGGAAGCTCCTAAACCAAGGGACAAAGGCTTTGAGTATGTTCCCCTAAGAGATTGTTTTTGATGTAAAAGTCCAGATTAGCTAAGTGGGAGAGGCTATTTACCATCAGGTTTACCATTTAGGTGATAGA